ATTACAAACAAATTGTCTACTCCTACTCTTCCAACAAACGATCAATTCTAATGTCAATATTGAACAATCAACCAAATTAAACAATGCAGTTGAAGAAAAGCGGCCTAAATTGAAATCCAAAACGTTGATAATAAATCAACATTATTGACTTCACATATCTTTGATTAATCGGCAAAAAATATTGGTGTTTGATTGGGATGGTAAAACTCCTTGGATGGTAAAAAATTCAATGATTATGATGGTATCAAATTGTACCTGATTTAGTTTTTTGCTAATAAAAGCCAAATTGTGAAAGTGGAATAATAATGCTGCTTGAAAGATGGCAAAAAGTCATTGAGCAAAATGAACAATAATGCTTTACGGAATAAAGTTATTTAATTCCATAATTTTTAATCAAAAATCCACACTGAATTATTTATCAACCTGATATTTATTGAATTCGTAACTTAAGGGTTTAGGGGTACTTGGAATTTTTGAAAAATCGATTTTTATTTTTTTGCATTTTCATTAAGTGTATTATCTTGAAAATGTTCTCTGAAAATTTCAAGTTGATCCTATGATTACTTTTTGAGTTATTGGACTCTCACCAGCTCGTTGACGCAATTGGAGAGCTCGATACTGATACTCAAGATTATTCTCTCTCACCTCCTAATGTTTTAAAAGCGTTTAAACCGATTTACGACGATCTGAGCAATGATAATTTACTTTCAAGATGTGTAGTTCAAGATTGAATCCATAATCAGGAAAAATTAAAAGCTTCAACCAACTAGCGTAAAAAATATGCATAAAAACCGTGAATACTAGTTCTACTATCGTACAAATTGCTGAATGCATTTACATAATTATTATTATTGTTTATGGGTACCCTAGGACCTAATGGTGGGTATAATTCCCATTGGTATGCTGAAAAATTGGATGCTGCACGTGTAAAAGCGGCAGATCACCGCGCCAACGAGAACACTCTGGAGGCCAGAATGCTTCGTAGGCAACAGCAAATGGAAATTTTGGAAACTTGCACAATGACCGATGAACTATTATATGGCCCAGAAATAAATGACTCGGTTTAAGTAATTCAATAATTCGAATTTCTGTACGTAAACCCAATGCGAAACTTTAAAAGCGTTTTTCTCAAAACTATGTTTTTTGAACCGGTGACCACTGTAACTCAAAAACCGCTTAGTAAATTTTAATGAAATTTATACAGCTTTTAGAATACATAATAAACTCGGGCCTGATCGAAGGATTTTTATTTTTTCAAAAATTTCAATTTTTTAATACCAATTAACTGTTGATTTTTTACCCAAAAATCTAGATTTTTTTTTTCTGATGCTGCCATTTTGTTAATTTTTGCAAAAAGAAGAAAACCTTCGATTAGGCCCAGGATTATCTATTTATAAAACTATTTTTTTTATTTGATTGACTTTAGATGAATCTCTAAGAAGTTATGATGGTCACCGCCAGGACCGTTTTTTGAAACAGGGTCAACAAAAACAGCTATAACTTTGAGAATATTAAATTATTTTTTCTGAAATTTTTGTTACTTCAAGTCAAAACATTGTATAATAATACCGTAATAATATTTTTGTAGAAAAACATCGTTTAATAACAAAATAAAAATATTGAAAATTCTCATTTTTTCGTGCCTCCAAGTACCCCTAACCCCTTAAGGGAAGAAGCAAAAGTGAATATGATGCCTCAAAAAAATCTATAATCACGCGGAGATCAATTATCACCCAAAAAAATTGATAACGTTATAATAATCGAGCAAAAAAATTATAAAAATTTAATTAGAAGCATAAAAAAATATGTTTATCGCGAAACTTCAATGTGTATAGAGTCAGCTTATGTTTACACATAAATAATATGCTGTATCTGTATCCTAAAACAAATATCACACAAATGCTTTGTATGCATAAATTATATAAGTCATTATCGTACAAAATGGTCTTGACAAAACCAATTACACAAATATGAAAACGGCCACAATCAATAAAACCGAATACATACATTTCAAATTCTCCAAGCGGTTGAATCCAAGACCTTGAACTAAACATAATATTTTCGTCACGGTGGCCTTGAGGTAATATAATATAGCATTTTAGATCATTCACAAATATTCAACGACTATTATGTTGAGTTCAGGCCCAGGATGCACATAATTAATCAAATTTAACTGATAGGATTTTTTATAAAGCGTCAAACGTCTGAAAAGCGACATTGTAGGTTATATGTGGGTCGGTTTGTAATTTTTGTTTTTAAATCCAATGTAAATAATGTCATTTAACTTTAATAACTAAAAACTATAGTACTGAATATTTCAATCAAATATGCTTAAGTAGACTTTCAACAGGGAAGTTTTCAATAATGTAAATCTAATCTAATAAATAACTAATTTGACAGATAGATGTACATGAAATAGCAACTATAATATCGGCTTTAAAATTACTCAGGTACTTACGTGGATTCAGCAGTTTTTAATATGAATACACCTTTATAAAACATTTATCGTCACAATAAATAAAACAATTATTTTATTAACAATCACAATATTCAATTAGCAACAAAATATACGTCTATTTATTTGCGCTGTATTCTGAGCGATGACAATGCTATCTATGAACGAACTCTTGAAGTAATGAAAAAAATAGGGGAAGCCGGGCGCAAATGAGATTTTGTATGAACACCAACGATTTGTATTAGATTAAATGGCGTTTCTGCCAAGACTTTTACCTTAAATATCTTGTTAATTTTTTTTAATAAAATAAATTTTGTTTCATTAGCACTAATTTAAAAAAAAAACTAGTGGGGTGTATGGCATCGTGCCTTAAGGCAAATTGCAGAAACTTCCCGTACCGTAAGGAAATGTTCAAGGAATACTGCATATTTTCAAATAGATTATTGTAACGTTGTCTAATATTTATAAGATTTATATGAACTGAATTACAAAGTTGAAATTATTTGTTTAAAATATATTAGAACTATAGTCAGAATTAAAAATAAAATATGAATTATTTTCGATATACAAAAAAAAAAATTTTTTGAAAAAAAAAAGTTGAAACAAAATTTTTTTTTCCAAAAACAATTATTTTGTTAGACAAGCAGAAAGTTCTTTGAATCATTTGAATCAGACGCTTAGTTCTCTCAAAAACTGCCATTTTTTGCACATTTAGCTCCGTATCTTCGAAATGGCTGGGCCTGCCTTTGCCAAAAACTAATAAACACTTCTCCCAATCATTACTAATTGAATGTTTTTTAGATAATTCAAATCGGATACTCCGTTATCTCAAAAACTCTATTTCTATTTTCTGCACTCTTTGCTCCGTATCTCCGAAACAGCTGGACCTGCCTTTGCCAAAAACTAATCAGCTCTTTTCCCTATCAATAGAAATCGAATGTTTTTGAACCATTCAAATCGTTTAATCCGTGCGCCCGAAAACGTGACTGGAAATTTGTATCCATACATACATACATACACACACACACATCCATTTTTTCTGAGGTATGCCAAAACGTTCAGAAACCTTCAAAACGTCGAGAAATGTAAAAATTTTCAATTTCGGTTATCGGCCCATTACAATAACTTACCCCACGGGAAGTTAATTAATAGAATGTTCGAAATCAGTCCGGTGTATCGTAGACCAATCTATTACCCATTGTTAAATCTCGTATACATGAAATATTTAAATAATCAGCTAATTTGGTAATATCATTTAATAGCAAGTAAAATTGAATTGTTTTGTTGAAAATCAATAATTAGATCCATATCTTTTATCTAAGAATACGGTGCGAGCTGATGAGCTCATCTTGTCTCATTAACCGGCCAAATGGTTCACAAATACCTACTGCTTCAATAATAGTTAATTGTCTTGCATATTTCAAATAAAATGGTCCACAGAAAAGTTCTTCATTTTTATTGGTTCAGGCTTTTGGCGAAATCTTTGACAAAACTGTCTGCACTTAAATGTTAATTATAAAAAAAACGGTTCAGCCGATCGTCTTGTATAATTAATCAACACTTATTGCATTTCATGATATAGCTTTTATATTTTTACGATAGGCCAAATTTTGTCTAACATACATCTAGATACTTTTTTCAAACATAGTGGCAAGTGATTCACAATGGCTAGAAACATCGAAAAACTTATAATTAGCAAATCAAATAAAATTTTCTGGCAAAACAAAGTTCAAAGTTTATATATCGTAAATATAACCAGCAATATCGTTAAACCTATCTTTTCCATGATAAAAGAGTTTGTTACAGTTTGAATTTAAAACCATTGATTGCTAAAATTTCAATAGTTCAAGAACTAAAGCCAAAATATATAGATCAGTTTCAAAAAATAATTCTATGTTCAATATATAATAATACATCTTTATGATAAAGTTTAATATGTGCGCAGGTAAAAATACTTAAAAAATTTATATATGTATATTCATAATACAGGAAGGAATGAAATTACTTTTATAACCCTTTCATTTAGTTTTCTGTATTATAAAATATTTTTTATTTATTTTCATATTTAGGTTTTAAATTACTAAAAAATATATTTTGATAACCCATAATCAATCAAAAAATAATATCTTTTAGTATATATATATATATATATATATATATATGTTTAAATAAACATAGTTATATACACATAGTATTTTGCATCACAGTGAAAATAGTATATTTACTAATTTAGCTACCGATTCCAGTAATGTATGCCATTAGTTCTTAAAATTGGATAGAAGTTCCCAATTCACATGCACATTTAATAAGTTAAATCGATATAGAAAATATAGATTTCTCGATATGTTAGAGCAATCTAATACAATATCACCAAAGTTTTGAAATAGAATAACTTATAGTTTGTTCATAATTAATAATCAATAATGTAACTAAACTTCTGAGTATTGTCATTTGTCTTATAATCACTGACTAGGCCAAAAATACTTTAAATCTAGTTATTAATAAAAAATAGTTATTACTACAATCAACATAGCAATTAAATTACCTTGAGTTAAATTGGAAGAATTTTTATTATTTCTATTCCTACTATCAGTTGTTGAACACACACTGTATGATATAGATTTCTTTCTTTTGCTGTCAGTATAACCAGGAATATATAAAGTAGGTTCTTCCAACCTTCCAGAACCCACCAATCTAGAGAAATCCTGCTCCAACTTACCGGCTATCGGTCCTTTAAAATGAACCACAAGTTGCACACAACCACCATTATGCAAAATTTTGGTTTTTCGAGAGTCAACTGAGAGCATCCATGGTGGTAAGCCCATCACCCTCCGAACCTAATATTATAAAATCATATTTATAAAATGTAGTATACATAAAAAGTATCAAATTTGAATTAAAATAATGTTCTTGTTAAGCATCTTATATAAAAGAAGTGATAAAAATAATTGATACTAATAATACTAATATTTTTAAGGAAATAAAACATATTGCAGTAAATATTAATTTATCAATTTTATTTTAATTATTTGACTATAAATTTTGAATATTACCTCTTAAATAAAGCATATCATATAATTTACCTGCTGAAGAAATTGAGCTACTACAAACTTGGGTGGCCTGCGTATATTAACATATTTAACAATATCATGTTCAGGTTCAATATTTGCACATGCGTATCGATCATTTGATCCATTTGGTCCTAGTATAACTAATGATCGTCCTAATGCATTAGCTGGGCCCTCTAATGGGAAGAGAGGATCTGTAAAAACCTAGAATGAAATAGATAAAAAGATTATTAACATAAAAATTCATTTATTCTTTATCATTACCATTGATAAATTATTCTATGAAAATTTGAAAAGTTCATAATTATTTCTGTTTGCGCTTGATAAAAATAAATCAAACTATAAAAAAGAATGATGTTACATATAATAAATATGTTTCAATGGTATACTTTATAAATTATACTAAACGTAACAAAATGATATATCTACCTGTCTACCAACACCTAAGTCTAATACACCGAGCCGACCAGATACGTCTCCAGCATAACACCTTAACGGATTATCAGGGCCGCATTCCTGATCATATCTAAATACAATATTTTATTGAAATAATTAATCATCTCTACAATGATTTACTTTGTTTGGTAATGTGTAAATATTCATTAAAAATTTATAAAGACTTGAATGACTATGTTAAATCTGTTAATAGCTAAGCCTTTGTAATATGGTATGATGTTCAAACTCAGATTTAATATAAATCTTTCAATTAAATTAAAAGTTGAAAGCTTAGACTGAAAGCTTTTATCTATCATCAAATTATCAAGTTGATATTAAATGGTTATTCCAAGATTTCTCGAGTTCTACTGGCCCGACACTTGAAATTTTCAGAAGAATTTCTTTATAGAATCTCTTCACATATACTAGCCTCATCCCCAAATTAAAATTTTTACTATATTAACAAAATTCACAAAACTCAAAAAGTAGTAAGAAACATTAAAAAAAAACTTGTTAAACTTAACCCTAGTATATACCATTACGACATCATTTTAGATTAATAATATTTTCTTTTTCTTGATTTTGGATTACTAGAAGGCTTGCATTTTGGTCATGGTCACGTCCATGTCCAAAAAAATGATAGTCAAAAAAAATGATCGCTTTTTTTGCAACAATTTAAAAATGACCTAAAATTGATCTTTCTATACTAGAATACCCCCTTAAAGCAAATGTGTGATTAAAAACTATCTAACAAAACCTTAAAAACGCAGTCGTTATGTGCAGACTCTACTGATGCATTGCATGATACCACTATATTTTAATAAATGTAATAATATGCATACAATTCTGTATTCTGAGGATCAGCTAATTGGGTATAAAATGGATTCCAAGTATATCCTCCAGCCACACATCGAGTAGCAAAAGTTTTAACAGTGGCATCAACACCAACAGGATTTACAAAAATTTGCCAGCGGTGTCCTCTTGATACGTTGCGATCATGTGCTCCAGGATGGCGTAAATTTACCTACAAATTGATATTCAAATCTTATATCATATTTATATATTAACTATTTAACTATGTAGATAATCTTTATTATTTTATACAATAAAAGTGCAACAAGAGTAATTTAAAATAAGGATATTTACCCCTATAATTTTCCATTTATTGAAATTACTCAATTAGAACACTTATCTAATACATTTCTAAATTTAAAAAAATTATAGTTATTCAACAACCTCAATAATTGTATCACTTTCTTCGCCATCTCCATAGACTAGTTGAGAAAACCTAACATATCCATAGGCATGTCCAGCAGGATTATGAAACGAAGCTACAGCCCTGAGTTCGCGCGCTTCACCAGGACTGTAGCCTCGTTCCAGGGTGGCACACGCTCGTCGAACATCATGGACCTGTGTTGTGCCCAAACCTTGCAAACCTAGGAAATAAGATAAATAAAGTTTCATTCTTAATTATTAATTCGAATTGCATATGATAAAATACAATTAATTGTTAATTATTGTCAATATTAAATTAGACATATCTACATACGTATATCTAAATAAATTTTCTTGTATGTATCATAACAAGTGCGTACGATGATTTGAAAATTAAACAATTATTGAAATAATATAACTATAGTTAATAATATAACCTCGTAATGAAATGTTCGAGGAATATTAAATGTTTTCAATAGATTATTATAAATAAATACTGTAATTTTTTAATATTATAAGAATTATATAAACTGAACTGCAATATTAAAATTATTTGTTTAAAGTATATTAGAACTTTAGTCAGAATTAAAATTAAAATCTGAATTATTTTCGAAATAAAAAAAAAAATTGAAAAAAAAATTGAAAAAAAAATTTTTTTCCAAAAGCAACTATTTTGTTAAAACAAGCAGAAAGTTCTTTGAATCATTCAAATCAGACGCTTAATTCTCTCAAACACTGCCATTTTTGCACGTTTAGCTCTGTATCTTCAAAATAGCCGGACCTGCCTTTTTCAAAAACTAATCACCTCTTCTCCCAATCATTACAAATTTAATGTTTTTTAGATCATTCAAATCGGATACTCCGTACTCTCAAAAACTCGATTTGTATTTTCTGCACTCTTTGCTATGTAACGGCTGGACCTGCCTTTGCCAAAAACTAATCAGCACATCTCCCTATCAATAGGAATCGAATGTTTTTTGAACCATTCAAATCGGTTCATCCGTGCGCCCGAAAACGTGGAAGAAAAATGCGGACATACAAACACACACACACATCCATTTTTCTGAGGTATGCCAAAATGTTCAGAAACTTTCAAAACGTGGAGAAACGCAAAAATTTTCATTTTCGAATTTCGGCCCATTACTATAACTACCCTACGGGAAGTTAATAAATAAGTGATATAATCTTTTTGACCGATGTGTTCTCCTACAATTCAAAAGTAACAAAATAATATTTTATATAATTCTAAGGGTAACAAATATTCATCAACTCTTTAAATTTAAATTAGAACTTCAAAAGAATTACTCAAATAAGTTGATGTTTGCTTAGCTGAATCTTGTATTCATTGCTTGAAATGAATATCACATGTTCAGCATGAATCTTATGAGAATTTGAAGAAACTCATATGTTGGAGCGAAAAGGATCAATTGTTTTTTATTTCAATGATTCAAATTTGAAATGTAACTAATACTTCGTGGTGAATAATAAAAATTCGACAAATTCACATCATATCCATAGATAACTTAATAATTTATAAAGTTTAGATAGATTTATCAACCAAAAATAGATTTATCAAGAAATTAATCTTTCGTACTTATTTATTATGTTTAATTTCAACTATTTTAATGAAAGCAAATATTTACCATGACCATGAATAGCAATTGATCGCCCGATTACAGCAGAATAACCAAAAAGGGGCAGCATTGAATCATTGTACGTAGCATGAAATTCAGTTTTCCTATATTATATAAATAAAAACAAAATAATAAACAAAACATAATGGGTTAAAATCATAAAATTAAGTAATGAGAATGATACTTGAGTTAAAATACATGCTATTATAAATAATTAAAGTTAATTGAATGAAATGAGTAACAACCAAAAAAATTTAACAATAATAAAATACATATATGTAAATAAATATTGATAAAAAAATATTAAAGATTTGTAAAAAAAGATTGATCAAAATATAGTAATTTTAAAAATCCATTAGACTCGTAATTTTGATATTAGAAAAACATAATATATACATACATAAGCATAATATTTAAATCTGCCTCATTTTCGGATTCAGCAAAATTTGAAGTTGTAAAGTTATATATAACTAATAGAATGATTCAGGTATATTTATATAAAGGGGTGTGATTTAAAAAAAATCCTTAAATTAAAAACTCACCTGTCAAGATGTCCAATTTTACTGCTCAGATCACCTACTGCATACTCTCCTGCCGATGTAGTATTTTTCTTTTTAACTTTTAAAGGATCATAAGTACCACCTAAAGTTTCTGGTTCACATGGAAATTCAAGATCAACCTCTACAGGAGATTCATGAATATAATAGTTGTTATAATCTCTGCTATCTAAATTAATTAACTCAATTTCGATGTTGGTCCTATCATATTCTGATTGCTGCGTTATTTCAATTTTACCTTTAAACTAATAGAACTATTAGTATTAGAAGACATTTTATTAATTATTAATTTTAGTAATAGAAGATAGATAAACTAAACTAAATAGTTCTAGTTCAAGAGAAATAGTCATAATACCTACATTACCAGTCTTTTTACTTAAAACTTAATATATATAAATATAAAAGATAAATAAAAAATTTACAATATATTCTATGTACTTCGTCTTGCAAGCTAAAATAACCCAATGTCAAAGTCAACCATAAATTATTATCATTAAGTAACTTAATTTTTAAAAATAATTCATAAAACTTTTAAATTGTGTAATAATACTTGTAATAATTTAACCTAAATACCTTTATGGGACCTCCATTTGGAAACCAATCTTTGGCCACAGCTTTTCTTCTATAAACTGGCACAAACGCAGCGCAAGCTAAACGATCGCCACGCAGAGCAGTGCCAATATCATCATAAATAACGAGAGACTTCCCAAGAACTTTTCGAGGTCCTTGTAATGGGAGCAGAGTATCAGTATATAAACGTCTATAATATATATTCAGAGTATTTAATTAGAAACTAATAATATTTTTACATTAAAATATCATATGTAAAAAGTTTATATAAATTTTTCCTGCATAAAATTTTGTAAAGCAAACAAAAAATTATAAGGTGAACATATTTTGCATTCAAATTACTACATAAACATTTGGCATACAATATTATATATTTAAATATAGATTTTTATATTAAATTACCTTGTAATATTTTGAGCTTCGATTTTAGAACCAGCTATTGTTAGTGATCCGTGTCTCCCAGACAGATCACCTACCCTGCATGTCTCAAGAAAACATGGACCATCACTTGGTAATGAATTCCAGGGATTATATACATTGCCAGCACTTAGACACCTAAATCAATAATAATTTTAAAATTAAGCCAATAATTATGTGTGCTTTGCAAATAAAATTCATATAAATAATTCAAATAAATTCATTATATTATGCCCTATAAAAATATATATTTACACCTAAACATTATTTAACCCTGAAAATGATCATCAAAGTGCATTATGGTTTATCAGTAAATGGACCAAAAGCTAATGAACCTTTTGAATAACAGTGTTTTACAACAAAAGGTGATTAATTAAACCAAATTTATCCATAATTTCATTTTCAAATTTATACATATTATAATGTATAAATTATATTAATATTTAACGTACGAGTCTTAAATTACTTGCGCTCCCGCCATAGAATCTTTTCCCTAGCCTGGTAAGTGCTTAGGCTGGACAGAATAGACTGGCATTGCACACACGTTTTTAAAATCGCTTAGAAAAACACATATATAAATTTTAAATCAGATTAAGTTTATTTTAATGCATATACAACTTGCTCACAAATGAGAACTTAATGACTCGCTGGCAAGTACTTCTGCAGGTTAATATTTCAACTTCTCAATGGATAAATTAAATCATATAAAAATTTGAAGCATATTTATACTTCCTATAAATTTTACAAGACAAGTTTAATTTTTGTTTTTTCTCTGCTTTTTTAAACTCCTGGATGACCATCATGTGCAGGGCTGAAACCTGCCAGACAATGTTTTTGGCACTAAACACGCAAAGGATCACCAGTACAAACATTTTTAGTCTTACAGGAATACCGTTATTCTAAAGATTCAGTTATTCCATTCAAGATCTCAGCTTAAAAGATGTGCAACAATCTGTATAATAAACTCTATTCTATTAAGATTATCCTAAATCTTAGTTCATTCTACTTACAAAATATTTTTAACTGTATATCTAAGAGTTCTAGAAAAATTCAATAAAATACCTCAATATAAAAAACCTAAATTACTTAAATGGCAAAATCATTCTATGTTCTAATAAGTAAATTGTTTAATTACAATTCTTTTCATATATAAATAATTCAAATGATTTGTAGTTTGTACATCATTTTTTATAATTGTGAACTGTTAATGGAAACAATAAGCAGTGGAGAATCTGCTAGAAGTAATATAAAACATAAACAAAAAGAAAAAAATACAACAGTAAAGAAAACAAAATTAAAGTAAAAATGACCAGATGAGATCAGTGGGTACATAAAAAATTGATCAAAATCGAAATCAAAAACGTTCGAGGGAATTAAAAAGATATTCACTATAATACCTTCCAGTCCAATTGTAAAAATCTCTCCCTGGTGGATTATCATGCACTGCCCAACGGTGATCACCAGTTTTATTAGTGCTTTTACCATCAGCATGTGTTAAATATTCAACAAGTATTGTTGTATCTGCCCAAGGGTGATTTTTGAGTTGACGGAATAACATATGACCAACGATTGGATACCTACAATAATCAAAATATATAGATCTACTTACTGAATATAATCTTAATTCATTTAAATGGTTAATATTTAAATTCTTATTTTAATATTTTGCATGTATTCACATTTTACAAGCAGTACATGTCAATACAACAAAACGAATAATAAATTACCTGAAAAGTATCTTAGCAGTAAACAACTGAGCTTGCTTTCCTTGCCCATCTCTCAACAGAATTGTTGCACATTCATTTATTCCATTTGCTGTTCCAACTATACTCCTATGAACCACACTGTGAATTCCAGTTAAAGGTAAAAATGTGTCCCAGTAAAAGTGGTTTAAAGCAGGTAAACTTATTGCCCCATTTCTCGGAGCAAACTTTCCATACAATTACCAATTGAATATTGCTCTTGTGTGCCATAGCCAGGAGGAGGTACAACATTATCTAAGAAAAATGAACCCAGAAAAATCCTTTAATTATGATAAATTATATACACAATATTAATAAAGCAATTAATAAAAATCATTATATGTATATATATATATATATATATATATATATAACATATATATATTATATATATATATATATATAATATATATATTATATCCCTTCAATTATATCTTATTATATCGTATTATAATCTGT